ACCAGTCACAGTGAGACACTGGTTTGTCCCTCCCATGTGTGTCAGTGCTGTGTCCAGACTCGACTGGATGACCAGCCTGTGCTTCACGTTGTGTAGTCCTAGCTGTCGAATGTAGCAATAATGGGATAGCTGTGGGTGTGTAGAACAAGCTTCCCAGCCATGATGGCCAGCCGGCACTCAGGATTCTCTCATGAAACAGCTGGATAAGATCCTCAGATCTATTAGCTACTAACGGCCAGCTAGCTGGATGGGCTGTATGGCCTCTTCTTGTCTGTAACCTGTCTCATGCGCTATGATCATGACAGATCCAGCTGCAGACCGGTGGAGAGAGAGAGAGGGAGACTAGACTGTTGTGACCAGGGCGCCTTGTGTTTTACAGCGCTGGCATTTGGGAGACCAGCTCTTCCAGCTGGGCCGAGTAGCTCGTTAAATAATTAATGAAAGTACAGGATCGGGGCAGTGTTGTGGTTTTGAGGACAATTAGTGCTGCATTTCCTGAAACCTGGGGCAGGACGTTAGTCAAGGCTTAATGAGGAGCCCTGTAATGAAACAGCAGTGTCTAGTTTGTCTTATTAATAATCCATTATCACAGAGTTGCCTATTGCTGGTAAGAGTTGCAGGAAACACAGAGACAATCCCGATCTCCCCTCTGGACAACAGTCCATCACAGAACGCCCCTGTGCCCACACACACACACACAGAAGCTCCATTTAACCTAAACCTATGGGAGGTCAAAAGAAGTCCATGCCAATAGAAGGAGAACATGCAAGCTCCACTCAGAATGTACCCCAGTTCAGACTCACACTCAGGAACCTGAGCGTCAGAGTTAACCGCCATCCCCCCCTGCTCTTCTTCCAATACTGCTGTGACCCTGTTTCTGGTCTGTAGAAGCAGTACAGAGACTTTTGCTCCTGTAGGTCTTCCACCTGCAAAGTTCAAGCTTCGCAGCCCTTTTGAAATTCTCTTGAGAGACCAGCACGCGGGCATGAACTGCAGTTCTGCGCTGAAGGAAGGAAGGATCTCATGAATCACCTTTCACAAAACTCCACCGCGCACAGAGCGGACGGCCCGAGCCCATTGCAGTAACCACACGCCCTGTCCCCTGTCCTCACCAGCCCGGCACAGACCCGACAGGGCAGAGAGGGGAACGGAAGATTTGCTGATGGATTACTGTGTGCGATTTTCACTTGATGTTTTTTATTTTTATTTTCTCAGCGTCCTGCTGATGGGTCTGTTTCACGCTCAGTTTTCGCTCTCTTGCTGTCGAGCTTTGGCAGGGCTGAGGGGGGGCGGGGGGGGAGGGCAGCGGGACCCATAGGCTGAGCGGGGCACGGGGGAGAAGTGAAGATGCAAGAAAGAGGACGGGAGAGGGGGCAGGGCAGGGCAGGGGAGAGAGAGAGAGGCAGGGCAGAGAGTGGGTGTGGGATTGAAAGAGAGGAGAGTGAAGCAGCCTCTCAGCTGTGTTGAGAGACAGGCGCAGACAGAATCGCTTGTTCTGTGGAACCCCGAACCCCTGCTCACGGAGTCAATTCACCAGAGCGAACACAGCTGCACACTTCTGACACGGACGGGCAGGCGACTGATTCACAGGGTGACACTCCCACAGGGGGACGCAGAGGGAACACGCGCGGAGGAGAGAGATTTCCGGAGAGACAGGAGAGAAGACAATCACACTGGGAGGGAAGAAGATGAATTGCGTCAAGGACTTCTTCACCTACGAGACGACCAAGTCTGTGGTGGTGAAAAGTTGGACTATCGGCATCATCAACAGAGTCGTGCAGCTTCTCATCATCACATACTTCATAGGGTGAGTCTGGGAGTCATGCGAGAGTGAGTGTGAGGAGA